CGTGGTCCAACTCCAAGACAAAAGCTCTTCTCCTTGAAAGAGCGCTTCTGAAGGAGAAAAATCTCAGGGAGTTCTGAGAACAAGGAATTAGAAGTTAGCACCGGAGTGCCAATTGGATGGCCAGGTGGTGGAAGTGGCATCAGGAAGGTATTGGAAAAACAAGTAGCTTTCTCTTGCTTTCCAGCTCTTAAGGAAAGAGGAATAGCGGGGAGGTTGACCAGACAATGACTTGATTTATTTGCAAAAGGTGATGCCCTCATCATGCATGAGATGTCTAGGAAATAAAGGCTCTGAAACATCAAATAACAATGAGATTCCAATGATAACCAAGCAATTACTGCCACCCCACTGGAGAAGAGAGACCTGATTAGGCAGGCATTGGAGGGTATCTTGGTAAACATGCCCAAAGTGCGGTTAAGGTATTTGACAGAAACAGTGACCTTCTGTGGGGGCGGGTTTTGGGTTCAATACATGAGAAAACCTTAACTCTTGTTAAATGTGTGATCATGGAGAGGAAGTCCTTTGGGACACAGGAGATTGTGATTTGGGGTGTTCCAGCTAATGAACTGGCTCACTGAAGCTGTACCTAGGCTTTGCACATATTTACCAATAGTAAAACCTGAGATAGTCACAGCGCTACTGATCATGATATGGCTTCAGATCCTTCACGGCTGAGCAGATGTGAGGATTGGGTGAGGTGGAGAGCCAATTCCATAAATGAAACCATTAACTAGAGAAGGGCTCAAACTTGAAACTCTGATTCCAAACACCCAACTCCCAAGTTTTGGAGGCTGTTCAGAACTGAATCTAAACTTCTGGGAGAACATGTGTCTCCATTGTCATAAATGGCAAAGCTCCCATTGACTTCACTGTGGCCAAGAATTCACCCCATGTCTCACCCTGTCTCTATAACGGACCAAACCCAAACACCCCAAACTTTGGGCAAATTCAGATGCAACTCCTTGAACTTGTGGTTCAAGTTCACCTCTGTTCACAATAGCACTAAAAATAACACCAGGAAGCAAATAGTCAATATGTTTCTATTGTCAGTTTAGTAGAACATTAAATGCAGTGTCTAATGGTTCTTTATTGAAGGGCAGTTAAATGAACGTTGATGAAAAATTCAGGAGTTTGCCACGTTAACCCCAAAGAAACAGAGATGGAATTAGTTGGAATGTTCTTATTTCCCATCTCCAGGCTGAGTTTAAAACTTGAAAATAGCCCAGCACACCCAGCCCTCCCAGGATGAAAAATTTTCCCTTTAAACTCTATGACAAGCTAATTCTCCCTAGCTCTAACCACCACAATTCAGGGCCAAATCTCTTTAAAAGAGGAGTGTGAGGGATCACTGGGAAAAATTCCAAAAAGTGGGTCAATGCATTAAAACTGAAAAGTAAAAGCTTCATATTCCTAATTGTTTTTAAATTTCCCTCTGCAGGAGGTAGTGGCAGCTAAGAGCGTGAGCAACAGCCTGGGAACCAGGACTTCCAGGTTCTACTCAGGTTTCCTATAGCCCTGGCAGTGTGGCCCTGTAGAAAGCATTCCAGAGTAGGAGCTGGGAGGCCTTTATTCTATTCCAAATTCTCCCACTGATTTACTGTGTGACATGAGGCAAGTCATTTAACCGCTTTTGTGCCTCATTTTCCCCATCTGTAAATCAGGGTGAAAATATGTACCCACAAATATGAAGTGTTTAATTGTGCCTGGCTCTGCTACCACTTCGCTCTGTGACCTTGGACAAGACACACACTTAACCTCTTGGTGCCTCAGTTTCCCCCTTTATGCAAATGATATAATAATTCCTACCACAGCTATAATCATTCCTACCACATCATTTACATTGATGTCTGTAAAGCACTGTGCGTTGCTGGGATGAAAGTGCAACATAGCTGTGGTAACACCTTCGGTATGTTTGTTTGACTTAATTTGCCACAAAGCACCATGGTACACGTGACACATACTATATTATATGAATAAATAATCAGACTAACAGGACTTGGAACTTTACATCGCAGTGGACTTGAATAACAAAAGCGTTTAGCTGGAAGTTTGGCTGTTTAAAATCTGAGCCAAGTCTATGCTTTCCAAACCCTCTGCTCTTAATGTGGGACCCTGCCAGTTTAAGGAGGGGGCGGTGAGGATTTCTGATGCAAAATTCAGGACAGTTGAGAGGGGACATAGTAATTGTCAGTCCAAAGAGCATCCCAGTGCACATGTTCTAAGGATAAGAGTGTCACCAGAGACTATTGTCTGTCCCCTCTCTGTTAAAGTAGAGATAAGGCTGGGATAAATCTCACTGGGACATTCTGCCCTATGATGTTATTTCATGCCACATCACCTAATAGGTGTATTTTCACACTGCTTGCTACTGCTGTGAGGTTCTGCAGCTCCTAGCCAGGCTGACAATCTCACTATATGGAGAATGGAATAGTGACGGCTAATTGATTTTACAGCAGTACCGAAGGACAGACAATGAAAGTACCATCAATTTAATCCACTATTTAATGGTTCCAATTTAGCCTCTGTAAATGCTCACTAAACTAATTTCTCTGGGTTCAGCAATCTGAAAAGCTATCATATCTCTAATCTCCTTCAATATATTCATCTGGAAAAGGGAATTTAGCCAATTCTGATGTGCGGAGATGATCTGTTAGCACAGTGTAAATGTTTATAACACGGCAATCTAGTTCGTTTATAAGGATATGAAAAGTTTTATTGGGGAGGGCACTGAAGTGGAACCGCGGGATAATAGGCAGTTACCCAGCAGTCTCTGGGAGCCGGGGAGCAGGCAGGCATGCAGAAAAATACTGGGATTTACTTTAATCCCAAATTGTAAGCTAAAGTTCTGCCCGGTACATGATGCATCTGGGACTTGATGGCACAAAGGATTCTGTTCCAGCCCCCAGAGACCGAGACTTTCCAACCAGACCACGATAGTAACAGTCATTTTTCTTTCCTCTCACAGGCTGGAAATTAGTTTAGTTTTAGCACATTTGTATTTCCTTATCCAATACACAGAGCACAGGCCGGCAAGCCACCAGTATAGCGCTGCCCTCTGGGCACTCCCTGTTGCCTTATAAAAGTTTTTCACAAAGGCCACCTTGAATGGGCTTACTTATGTGATGCCATAGGATGGCAAGTGCTGCCAGTCACGAACCCCCACAGCTAACCAGTCTCTTGGAAGAAATGGCACCCATCAGAGCCCCTCTCACTAACCACCCAGCCCTTTGAATAACCCAGTTCTGCTCCCCTTGAAGTCAAATAGGACGTCATCTACTTCTGTGTGACAGGATTGCACCTAGCGTGACCAGTTGTAACTCAAAGCACCACAGGGATATAATACAAACTCCTATAGAATGAGCTGAAAAACTAGGCTGTACTAGGCTTCCCTTATGGTCAGATTGCCTCATCCTTAAAATGGGTCTGAACTGGAACTCCAGAGCCAAATGCCCTTCCTTCCCTGGAAACTGGGAGAAAGTTCAGTCTTACGTTTGGGTCCAAATTTCAGAGCTCAGCCTCACCTTTGCACTAATGCCTTGTTCTGCAGCAGCCCACCTGCTGTTGGAAAACAGATCAAATAACCAACCATTCCCTCTTACTTCTAGTTAAAAACAAATTCCAAAGCTATTCAAACCAGGGATTTTATGGGTCCGTATCTCATGATCTTCCAGCACTTACACTGACTGCTTTATCCTAGTGCCAAAGGACAGCTGGGATTCTAAGATGTCCAGTGGGATACACCATTCGTTTCTAGGCCTGAAGGTTCGCCAAGAGACATCTGCCCTTAAAAACGGTCACTGATCCACGATTGAATATATCAAGTCTTGGACCTCAGACCAACATAATTTCCAACCCTTCCTCCTACATGATCTAGGGTGCCACAGGGAAAAGAAGAACATATTTTGAGGATTGGTGCTTTCTATTAAAAATGGTGGGTGTTGGGTGAGCTGCTGAACAGACTCGGAGGGTTAGAGAAATGGTT